TAAGGTAGTGGTACGAACTTTTATCGGAGTATTCATAGATCATTAGGGCCTACATGATGCGCATACGCTTGACACAAAAATAATCTGACAGTTGAGAATGTTTCCTCGTCAGTAGACTTGTGATACTTACGAGATAACGTTTTCAACTGATTAATTACTTTTGAATTTGTACTCTGTCCATAAGATAAGTTCCAGTCAGATATGAAAAGCTTCCAAAGGATAAGTTCGTTAGACCTTCTGTCTAGAGTGATAGGCATTTTGCTAGAATTCCAACCTCGGGCTTGGTACATAGATGGAACCAGTATTGGTTACCTGCCGGTCCAAACCTGTCTATGCCAGTCTAGATTTTCCACTTTCCTGCTCTAATATTGTATTCATATAAAAAAACAATAAGTGGAACCAAGCCTAATCTCGTTGATCATGCAACAGTTAGTTTAGAGAACGCTCTCAATGAAACTATTGTTGTCAATAGTGAATCATTATACCAGTATGCGGCAAGTTACCAATTTAACTCAAAACAGTTCACTATGGAGCGAGATTTCATTTTAAGGTTTGGCCTACTGCTTGTAGATCGGTATATCGGCCAGTCTGAAAAAAAATTAGAGCGATTCCATCTGTGGCTTGATATATATCAAGCCAGAGGCTGAAATTCTATTACAATGCCTATTATGCCAGACAAAAGATCTAAAAGCACTTATCCTTTGGAAATTTTTAATATGTCACTGAAATCTGCCTTACCCATAGAGACCTCAGTAGATTATAACTAGCTTCTTTCTAGTTTAATAATTTTCGAGTATATTCAAACCTTTCAATGTGTAGGTTCTATCGATTGTTTATTGAAAATATACCTTAAGAAATTTGAATTCTTTAATTAAATCGTATTCAATTTGATAAGTAACAAGAAAATAAAAAACATTTTTTATTTTTTATTTTTAGGCAAGAAAGAATCAACAGAATCTTTATTTTTTAAATATAGTGATTATCCTCTAGTTGAAGAACGTGCATTAGAATGTTTTACACCATTAAATGATATACTTAAATCATATAATTTTAAAAAATATATTGATGATGAAACAACAAATGAATATTTAAGTGAAAAAGATATAAGACAATTACGTAAATTACGTTTAGTTTCTATTCTACGAAATTTATGTCAAAAAATTGATGATAAAACAAAGAAAAAAATTTTTGATCATTTAATAACTTATGTTAAAGATGAAATTGTTTGTTTTGAATCATCATCACCATTATTACAACAAATTCCTTCATCAAATTTTGGTGTGCCAGGTGATCGACGTACAATGCAGGTAATATTAAGAAAAAGAAATATATGAAATTAAAAGTTTGTTTCTTTAAATTAGAAACCAACAACTGACGAACAAAAATCACATAATCCAAATGGTACTAATGTTAAAACACCTCGTGGTGCTCGAAATGTAGCATTAAGACAATTTCTTGAACCAGCTCTAGCTGGTATATGTTTTAAAACAATTCATCTATTAGAAATTATTTATTTATTTATTTAGCATCAGAATCTGCATCGAATAATCGTTCTCTAAATCAAAAGAATTCATCCAATGATACAATTTCATTTCCACCACCACCACCACCTCCTCCTCCTCCTCCTGTTTCACATCGTATGTGATATTGATTATCTATCTTATAAATGTTTGTTTGTTTTTTTAATTGATTTAGAATCATTTATTGGTGATTCTGATGTATGGCCACGTTTACCATCTGCATCTGAATCAAAAGATCTTTTTCAACAACAACCATTTGATTATGAGTAAGATTAAATAAATTAAAGATTTTAAAGTTAATTTTTTTTTCTTTCTCATCTAGATCACGTCCCGATTCAGTTTGGAGTAATAATGATGATTCAAAAGATCAATTTACTTTTCAATCACAAACAAGTCCTCATCAAATGCTTGCACCTGGTTTAATGTTTTCACATCCATTATCAAAACATAATTCTAAACAACAACAACAACCGAAATGATATGAAATTACATAGAAAAAGAAAACGATTATTTTTTTTTTTTCGTTTGTCGATATATGTGATAAATATATACGTGTGGTTTTTTTTGTTGGGTATTATAAACGGTGCTTTTTGAATTTAAAGATCGAACGATGATTTTTTTTTGTGTTAAAATTTTTTCTGATCTTTATGATTTACAAAAAAAAGAAAAAAATAAGTAAACAAATAACAATATTGAATATTTTTCATGTCATGAGTTTTTCATCTTTCAGTTAAGTCTTGTAACTAATGATTAGTTCTGTGTTATACAGACACGATTTTAACTGAAATTTGACATTTTTCGAAGAGTTTAAAAAGTTTTCATGCAGTAAGAAATAAAAATATTTCAGCAGAAGAAGTGCTGTTTACATAACATGGATTGTTTACAAGAGTTCATGAAAGTTATGAATCCTGATCCTTTTCATGCAGATTCTTCACTAGGCAGTAAACATTTATCTAAATTGTGAAGCAGTTTATATGATATATATGAATACTTGCTATCACAGATCTTTAAAACTTAGAATCTCCGCTTGTAAACATATTAAAGTATGATCGGAAAGTTTTTTAGACAAGATGTTTGTTCATTTTTGACCCGCTAGAAGGTATTTCCAACAAGTTAGGAACAGAAGTTTATGTTCTTTTTGAATATGAACTTAAAAATTTTGTTTCAATTTTTTTTCCGAGGGTACTGAAATAACCATTGAAAAGCCCAAAAAGTTAGTTTGGACAGAACTTGTAAGCCAATGTTTTTGGTGAACGTATTCTTTCATTTTGGCCTGCTTGAAAACATTTCAGTATAGATCGCAGCTAGAATTTGAATATGGGTTTAGAAATATTTTTGATCCTATAAGTTCCTTTTTGAACATGCTAAAAACTGTCTGAGTCGGTTTTTTTGTAGAGCATACATGTGATATTGAACTAAATTATAACTTTTACTCAAATGAGAGACTACAAGCATTTTTTTCAAGAATTCCTTTCAACGTAAAACGGTCATCGATTTTTCAAAAGCAAAAATTGAGGTGCCTTGTCGAAAATATTTTCTAACATGTCAAAAGTAAACAAACAACTTGTCTAAAAACTTAGCGAATGGTAAGTTTTCCCTTATCTCAACAAGTTTTTATCTAAGCAATATAAAATTTCAGTGTATTCTACTTCTTTGTGCAATGTTTATCTTACCATCTTGAAATAAACAAATGAACAAAGTAGTATATATCCATCGATAAATGATTTAGCCTTGAATGATGCATTACTTTTTTGTTTCCGGAACATGTAATCTTCTCTAATTATACATGAGTAGTCCTTGACCTTTGTAAAAAATAAATCTATTCTAGCAATCATTACATATACTTTCAAAAAATTTCTGTTCTGTAATCGGTCATGTTTCTGTTTAATTATTGATGAAATATAAAGTATAGGCTTTTTCAATCGAGCTTGTATCCATATCAATAAAATCAAATATTTCATTATTATAGCAAGAAATCAATCTTGATATCTAATATGAAAACGATCATTTCTTTTCGCATCATATAATGTCCTACTGATAATATTGTGTATTCCTATCGGTCATTTAACTGTCTAGTAATCTATTACAATTGTCTGACATATGCAATCGACAAAACAAAGAACGAAGCAAAAAAAGAAAAGGATCATTTTCTCTTCTTCTCCTTTTGAACTGTTATATCGAAACTAAACACTAGTTTTGTCGTTCTGTTGTCCTAATAAAACGGGAATGAATTCTTTTCTTGTGTACTCTATAAGCTACAGAAGAAAGAGAGTACAAGGCAAAAAAAAAGAAGAAGAAATTAATCGGACTATATCAGTGTCCGCAAACGACTACAGAGTGAAGAAAAAGAAGAGAGAAAAAAGAGAATGAACAATTTTTACTTTTGACCAGAAGAGTAAGTTGGCTAGTTGCCAAATATAGAATATAGACTCTCAATAATATCTAGAAATGTGGAAATAGATATTTAATCATATTATTTCATATATTCGATAAGTGTTGATTGTTTGTTTTTTTAATTTTATCAATCGACAATTTCACCGGGCTTGGATGAAATTCGCAGATAGATTTACTCGAGACATTCAATGCTTGGTGCAAATTGCGATTGACTTTTTTCATTGGATTTTCAATTCTAAATATATATCTTATCAATTGTTAATCAACTATTTTCTACCAAACAAAGAGTATACAGTAAGTGAAAATGAATTGAATATCATTTGTATTTAAATTGTATAAAATCGATATTTATTCTAGGATGAATATAAAAAATAAAGAAGATCAATAAGTTTGAAATACTATTTTATTTCATTTAGAAAGATTATTTTTTTTTTATAGAATTGATCGATTATATAATAACAGATGGTATAGTTCTATTAGTTTTATGATTGATCTTTTTTTTAATGAATAAATCGTCTGATCAATTATGATGTATGCTGATGACTTATAACACTATAGTACTAAATTGATAAGTACTAGTCAATGAGAATAGTTATTTGGATGAATAAATAAATTTTAAGAGATGACAGATAAAACATAATTATATACTGCAAGAAATAGACATAGTTTAATCTATCAAATATTTCATGTAATAATGAGTTTCATATAGGCAAATTGAAATGATTTCATTGATATTGAATTTTACATATTGTTTTCAACAATATAAGAGATGCCATGTACATGAGACTTATCTTCATGAACAATAAAAAAAAAAGAATTATTTTTACTCTTTAATTTATCCGAACTTATATATTTAAACACAAGACAAAAAAAAAATCTGACACACAAGAACCAAATTCATAATCGTACATAAAAAGTTTTGTCAATAAATAATAATCTAATATGAGTAGAAGCTACTCTGTTCTTCTTCTTCTTCTTCTCATATATCTATGCTATTTTCATTTCGTTCGAAATATCAAAAGAAAAAAGAAACCGGGTCATAATAGACAAAAAAGAAAAATCGAGGTTTTTTTGTTTGATGTATGTCTAATGTCCATTGGTGTTATTAGCAACAATTATATCTTCATCAACTTCAAAACGTGGACGTTTAAGACGTTGTCGTTGTATTGGACCATTTATTGTTGTTGCTATTTCATCATTATTTGTTGGTGTTGCACTACCATTAATAGTTGGTGAAGATCCTAATCGTGCAACAATATTTAATCGTTCTTCTTCTGAATCAAGTAATTTTCTATATGTTGCAATTTCTCGATCAAGTCCAATTTTTGTATCAACTAAATTTTGATAATCATTTTGCATTTGTTCAATAATTTGTTTAAGTTGTTGTATTTCATCATCACGTTCAATAATTGATTCATGTTGTTGTTGTTGTGTACGATATGCACGATCTTCTAAATCTCGACAACGTTGTTCTAATTGTAACACTTTTTCATTACATATATCACGAATTTTAGTTACTTCTTCAATACGTTCACGATATGAAACAACATCTATACGATAATTATTTATTTGTTCTAAATTACGACGAATTGTATTTTGTAAATCTTCAATCTAGTTTTAAAGTAAAAATAAATTACAATCGATATGATGAAGTGAATTTATTTAAGTCAAAGATTATATCATGAATAAGGAAGTATTAAAAGTTGCATTCTTTTTTTTTTTTTTGCTTTAGCCTACTGCTTCTGAACTTGGACAGATATCTTTATTGTTTTATCTTTAAAAGATCAATAATAATTTAATTATTACTATTTTTTTATAGAAAACAGATGTGTATAATTCAAATCATGAGTTTGAAATATTTAAACATTTTTGTTACCTTTTTTTCATATTGTGCGGCAATTTCTTCTTTTAATAATTGCATTTCTTGTTCATTTTGTGTTCTTAATTGTTGTAATTCTTGTAAAAGTTTTGCATCATATTGTTGACGTAAACTATCATCATGAAGAATTTCAACACGTTGTTGTTCTTTTATTTGATAGATTTTCTAAAATATATTTCTAATTAAATAGATTTGATAAGAAAATAAATAACCTACTGTTTCATACACATGCTGATTAAATTGTAATTCTTCACGTAAAGTTTTATTTTTATTTTCAAGATCAACACGTAATAATGTTTCAGATTCAAGTTGACGTTTTAATGCTGATACTTGTTTTTCAAGATCATGATTTATTTTATGAAGTATCTAGAAGATAATAATTATAAATTAAAAGTAAAAAAAAACAAATTAATATAATTTTTAAACCTCATTCTCTTCCATTTTACGTGATGTATCTAATGTAATTGCATCATAACGTGCTTTTAATTCAGCTATTTCATTTTCAGATTGTTTTAAACGTGATTCATATGTACGTGCATCACGATCATTACGAGCGGCTCTAAACAAAACAAAGAAAAAGGGAACGAAAAAATCTCTAAGAAAATCTTTGATTGACTTTTTTTTTATCGTACTTTGCTTGTATATCTAAATTTTCACTACGACTTTTTTCAAGTTCAATTTCAAGACGTGATTTTTCATGAGCTAATTCTTCAATTAATTTTTTTGCATCATCTAAAAATCGAGGAAAGAAATATTTTTATTGAATTTGTTTTATTTAAATCTACCTAATTCATTTTCATATAAAGCTTTTACTTTTGATGTTTCTAATTCAAATGATTGTGCATTTGTTTTAACAATATTCTAAAAATTAATGAATCATCATTTTTTTTTTTTTGTAAAGATTAATCAATTTACTCTTAATTTTTCATTATCTTGTTCAAGTCGTCGAACTGTATCAATAATAACTGCTAGACGATCATTAAGTGTTTGTAATTCTTGTTTTTCTTGTTGACGTGTTATATTAAGTGTTGGTGATGTACTAAATGATGACGATGATGATGTCATTGAAAGACCAGATAATGTACGATGTTTCATTCCATTACCATTAACAGTTAATGTATTACTTCCATTTGTTGTTGTTGTTGTTGGTGTAATGAAACCAGTAGAATTATTATTTTCAATATGTGTTTTACGTCCATTGATTTCAAGAAGTGAATTTTCTTTAACATTGGATTCAGAACGTGATACTGATGCGGCACGACGTCGAAATGCCGCAAACATTTGAAATTTTTATTAGAGAATAAATGAATAATTAAGATAAAAATCAATCTAAAATTAATAATTTTTTATAGAAATTAACAAATTAAACTTATAAAACCAGCGTTTTGAAAATCTATTAGACGTATTAGCAAATCATTTTTGGATATTTTTTCCTGCTAGAAAATAAAATGAAAATAATTTCATAAAGACGGATGAACACTATCAGCGCTCTTTCCCTAAACCGCCACTGATAAGACATACAAAGAACTTGTCTTGAAAAAGAATAATATTCTGATAGGTTGTTTTGTTCGACGAGAATTGTATATTAGAACTAGATGAAAATGATTATTCGTTTAGAAAAAAAATGGTAGGCACGAAGAGAGATTCATCTAATTTTTACTAATTTTGTATAGTGACAAAACTGGTATATATACGACATCTATCGAATTGAAGAAATAGCAGCTACGAAAGTCAGACAAAATTATTATGAAAAGAAAAAAAGATTTCAAAATTCTCGTATTGTTACAAAGTTTCTTGAAAAGAATAATAAAAAAAATTTGATTGAGTGTGTATTTATTCATTGAGTTTCATTGACGAAAAAGTGTCTACCATAAATTTATCTAGATCAAATAGGCACACGGTCATAAACAAGTATGACGAGACACATGGTTTAGTATTACGATCGCATATCTCTGTGAGCCATATACGAAGAAATATGATGATTTACAGAGAAAAAAAACCTTGTTCACTCTCTTCGTATATGGTCCCTGTTTTGTATTGCATACGATAACGAATATATAAGATCGTAATGCTCAGCTATATAATCTGATAAAATACGGTCATTCACAGAAGTATTTAGACTCGGTATCATCGATCCGAGTAGACAAAACATCAAGATATGCCCTAGTGGACACGTTTTTTTTTCTATGTTCAAAATTACTTACTAAAACTTGCTACAGATTATTTATTACAATATATCACAATTGATGTTTAAACAACCACTGCAACTGATTTTGTTGATATTATTAATGATATAAGCGTATTTTTCATATGATTTGGTAACGGTGAAAAATCTTTTGATGTGTAATGATGACAGTGGTCATGAACATTCATCAATAGGAACATCATATAAAATATTCAAAACAAAGGAAATAATACGAAAAAATTTCTTGGTTTGCCGTAATACCTCAATCACCGTTATATAGTACAGTTCAACATTGATTGATACTTATATTCATTCAAAGTAAAATAGAATTAGAGAAATTCTTGAATCAGAACTGAAGTTTTATTTAACCCTTTGAGTCCCAAATTGTTTCTGCTGGATTCAATTCATGAAGATTGTTAGATTTGCTCGTTTTAGACAGAAACATATAAACGACTATATATCTCTTTTACAGATAGTTGAAGAGGATTCTAGAGCATTCTTTATTACTTCATTCCAAGGTAGTAGGTACTGATTTTAATAGATTATATTGTGAGAAATGATTATAAAACATGTGTAGCTTTTTTGCTACTATGGGACTCAAAGGGTTAAAAAAGTGAATGCACCACATCATGCAGTGTGCAAAACTCTACAAAGTAAGATTTATTTTCATCATGTATCTTGTTTTCAAAATAAGAAAAATTCTGTGTGATCAATTTTCAATGTTGCAAATGATATCATTGATTGTCATATGATTTGGCTTATATCTGCTTACATATAAAAAAAAAAAAAGTAAATTGATTGTTTATGACAAGATGATTATGTTTGTAGCGTCGATTATTGGTTGCATCGAATATTGTTTATTTTGAAAACAAAAAGTACATAATTAAAATAAGTTTTACTTTGTCGATAATACTTGTTCCATTATTCTAACATACTCAACATATCCTACAAATTCTTGCATAACTAAATCGTTTTTCTTCTTTTGACGCCATATTGGCGACGTTAAACTTTGTAGATATTACAAGATGAATGTTCTTGTTGAATACTAATTGTTTAATTATTTTTCAAATTCAAAATTAGAAAAACTAAATATACATTTTAGTAGTTATATGTATAAAGAACAGATTAGCAACACATCTGTTTCTGTTGAATATCTTTGCGATCAATCTAATTTAGTTCGCTTTCTGTCACGAAGTGATCAAGACTTCCTTTTCTTTTCGCTCTCATTACACTTATTGACTTTTCCCTATCTTGCTCATCATCATCATCATGAACATTTCCATCCCTATATATCGAGTATAGTTTCGCAATAAACAACATTTTGTTCAAGCATTCATCTTCTTCGATCTTCACAGTTAATCACTTAAGGAATTCACATTCTTTTTCTTACTGCATAACTTTAAAAAAGATTTCGACAATATCTAATGTGCAAAATTAATTGCACATTGATAGATTACGACAATCTTACTTTGCAAATTGTCTTGAAAAATTGTTTTTTTAACTTGACTCTGCCCTGCCAGGACAGAGTAGATTATCTATATCTTGCAGGAATCTACTTCCACCTTTATTTTAATCGACGAAAAAAGTAAAAAAAAACAAAAGACATTAACTAACTATATTTGTCTAAAATTTTTACATATTCGATGAAATATATTATTTTAATAGGTAATCTTTATTCATAGAAATTAATAGTTATCTGATCGTTTTTTATTTATTTATTGAAGAGTAAATTATTTATAAGAAAAAAATACATAATATGTGTGTAGTTTTTCGAATGTCATTCATAATTTCTTTTGAATTTTTTCAATATTTTCTTTGCATTGTTCAAGACAAAGATGATTTACAGGAGATGAACGCTGTCCAATATCAAGAGCAGATTTATAAAATAAAATTGCTTTCATAGGAATATCCATCTTATCATAGATATCACCAATATTAATGTAGCAAAAAGTTAAATCAGAATAATTTTGAGAAAGATTTTTTTGATAGATTTCAAGTTCTCCTTCGTAATATGAAAGTGCCACAGAATATATGCCCATCTGGAAATATACAGAACCCATATTGTTGTAAGCAGTAGCTAAATCAAGATGATTTAAAGGATGAATATTTTGATATGTTTCCCATGCTTTTTCATAATATAGAAGTGCTTTCGTGTAATTGCCCATTTTTTTATACACAACACCATGACAGGTATAAGAATCAGCTAATTGAGGATGATTTGATGGAAAAATTTTTCGATAGATTTCATGTGCTTCTTCATATGACGAAAGTGCTCTTAAATAATCATCTCTTTGAAAATATATTCTGCCAATATTTTTGTGACATGCAGCTAATTCAGAATGATTTGAAGATAAAGTTTCTTCATAAATTTCAAGTGCTTTTTCATAATATGAAAGTGCTATTGAAAGTTCGTTCGACTTTTCGTATAGTGAACCAATATTATTATATAATTCAGCCATATCAGAATGAATTGAAATTATTTTTTCTAAAGATGATATTGCTTTTGAATAATCATTCATTTTCTCGTATACCAAAGCAATATTCTTGTAAGAAGTAATTATATCAGGATGTTTTGGAGAAAGATTATTGTTATAAATTTCAATTATTTTTTCATAATATAAAATTGATTTTGAATAATCACCTTTTTGAAAATATATTCTAGCAATATTTTTATTAAGATTCATTAAAATTGGATCATTTTCTGTTGGTAAATTTTTCTCATAGATTTCAAGTGCTGTTTCAAGAAATGAAAGTGCTTTCGAATATTTGTTTAACTTTTCATAGACTAAACCAATTTCATTGTAACACATAGCTACATCAATATGTTCAGGAGAAAAAGTTTTTTGAAGAATTTTGAGTGATAAATAATAATATGAATTTGCTTCTACATATTCACCTTGATGAAACTTGATTAAACCATATTGATAATATAGAAATCCTTTCTCACCATCATCAGATGTTTGATTAATCACTGTATCACATACTTGTTGAGCTTTATTAAATTGACCTTGTTTTATCAATAATTCACTTAATCGATACCATCCTATACTATAAGGAATTGTCATATCTACGGTGTGTTCAGTCAATGCATGAACTTGTAGATCAGTATTATTGATTAATGTTAATTCCATTTGCCAAAGACAAATATTACTACTATTGTTGATTTGTGTAAGTTGACCAACACGAAACATAGAATTCATAGAAAATAGAAAATCTTCTTCTATCGAATTATAACTAACATCACGGATGTTGGCATAAGGAATTGAATCTATAGAAGGATCTATTGTTATAACAAATAGGATGCCTACTAAGTTAGAAGTTGCAACAGCTTGACGCGCAAATTTTAATCCAACATCACGATTTTTACTTGTAAATAAAAAATTATTAAAAGATAATATCTGATTTTCTGTTTTTTTTAGTTGCTCAAAATCTCGCTCAGATATACCTTGACCACGATATACAATAAAAGAAGTTGAATCATAGCAAACAGTCTTTTGTTTAGAATATAGTTGAGTAATATAATGATGTAGATCACCTATAAAGAAACCCATTTTAATAATAGTAACTACATCCATAGTACGTAATGCATGATTGAGCATAGAATAAAGAAAACATGGATAAGTATACCACCAGATCGGTACATTATCACGGTATTCTCGTTCAAATTTATTAATATTTTTTAGTTCAGTGATATTGCCAACAACTTTTTTACGATAATATATAATAAATTCAATAAAATCTTGTTGTTTAAATTTTATTGTTGATACTATATTCTTCAAAATTTGAATATATATAAAGGATTGATGTAATTCATTTAAATTTTGATCTGATGTTTCATTATTCATTTCAATAAAACTTATCGAAATAGTATTTCGATCATATTCTTGAGCAGCTTGTTTAAGTGCTTCACAAAGAAGTGAAGTTTCCATAAAAACATTTCTGATTTTTGGCCATTTATGTATCCATAATTCATGATCTAATGTGTTTTCACAAAATATATAAATAGAACTAATCTGAGATATATCATGAACAGTATGTATGGCAGTTTGGCCAAGAGATCCAGATATAATCAAGAATATTGTTTCTTCTTTAATACTTCGAATAAAACTTATACATTCTTCGACTGTAGTAAATGTGTTTACAGAATTAACAATTTGTTGTAAGATTGTGATTATATTACGACAATCACAGTTGTTCATTACATCAATATTGGCATCTAGCCAGACTAGTAAATAGTTTTGAAGTATGCGCGGAATAGATTGTTCAGATGATTTTATGCTGCTATGTAAAGGTACTAATGTTGCACAAGCCGATGCTATAGCATAAGCACTTTTTGAACAAAGATGCATTTCTTTGTTCTTCTTATAACTAGCAACATCAGTTATTCTTTTTTTCAATCTGTGCATAATGTATATCAAATAAAAGAAAGTGATCTTGATTGTAGAAGAAATTATGCTAATAAAAAAAACAAGAAAAATAGTAAAAATAAAAGTTTTCAAGGAAAATAATTACCTTTTACTATAGAATATTTGTTTTTCTTTTTTTTGTTTTTAATTATTATTATTATTTTTCCGTTTATTTATACTCAAGACTCGCCAGGTAAGTCAGGTTTTTCTCTCGATAGATGTAAATAAACGTCATACCTCAATGATTCAATATATCAGATGCAAATGTTCCTTTTCCTTTGCAATAATAAAAAAATATGTATCGTAAGCAACGATACTCGAGATATGAGTATTTTTCTCGTTCGTTTGAGTATGATGAGTAAAAAAAATGGAGCGGAGGTGAAGGTCATTTTTTTAATTAAGTGCAAGTGCATATTGCTGTTTGAGAAAAACAAATTCTTTAATGGAATAAACGATCAATCAGATATAAGGAAGAGATAATTATTAATTAAAAATTTCGACTTTCGAACTGACGAAAAGAATTTCGATGTTAAATATCAAAATATTAACAATTAACTACTTTTGTTATCCAAGAAAATCATTCGTTTTAAGTGTGACTGTATTTTATATATTCATACCAAAATAGTGGATCATTGGATGATAGTACAATTTTAATTCTGTTCTTATTGACAATTATTTAAATATACAAAAATCTCTATTTAGTTTTTGATCACTTAAAGACAAATGGTTAGAGTCAAAGTTCTTCACTATTTCTGAATATATGGTATGATTTTTCGTTTGAAGTAAAATGGAATAACTATTAGTAAATTTTTTTTTTGAAAAAGTACAAAGTAAAATAGCGCAATCCTTAGTTTGTATCTTGCAACAGCTTGAAATCAATATTATTCCAAAGCACTGAATTCTGTACAATATGTGATACTAGCGAGAGTCCGTGAATACTGCACGGATGCCTTTTTCCTGTAAAGTTTCACATCTGTCCTTTAGCCTTGATTCGATAATAGACAATCAGAAAGTTCGCATTATATATATAGAGACTTTATAGCCTTACCCCCTTGTAGTCTTATATTCTCGTGGTATTACTTCCTATAGCTCTATTCCGTTATTCTCTTATCCCTCATATCCCATGCAGCCTCATCTACTTATCCACTATATACTTATCTCCTTATACTCTTTTAGATTTATCGCTTATGCCTCTGTAGCCCTAGCCTCTTATCCCCTTTACCATTATATCCTTATCTCCTTATAGTCCTTGTGGTCCTATGAGTACTTCCATATAATTGCCCATGAGGACCTACAGATACCCTCATATAACAGCTCATGAGGACTTATGGGTACCCCATATAATAGCTCTTGGGGAGCTATAGGTACTTCTTTATAACAGCCCTTGAGGACCTACGGGTTCCCCTATATAATAGTCCTTGAGGCCTTCCGCTTATAGGATTATTTGACCTTTAACCTTTGACTTGGGCACAGAGACGTCAGACAGACACTGAACATTATATATATATAGATTACAATAAACGAAATCTTATCGATGCGTTTCCACTAAAGAGCTATTATATACGGAAACCAGGATTGGTCAAAAAATTGCTGTTTCAAAAATTATCTTTAAAAGTACAACAATAAAAAGCACGATATGTAGAACAAATTTTGCTCTTTAAAACTGACGAGAGAATCTCTCTAGGTATTAAATCGCTTTTCGGCCGAGACGATAGTAATAGAAAAGCCTAGTAATGGTTTAGTTTTCCCGACCTTCATTCTCAACATATTTTTGTTGAAAAATCCAGTAAAATTTCGATATTCAAAAAACAAAGGCTGGGAAAATCAAACCATTCTAGACTTTTCTATTACTCATCAAATGAATATTATCCCGGTCAGAAAAAGCGATTTGACACTTGAAGACATTCTCTCGTAAGCCATTAAGATATGTTTTACATTTTGAATTTGATAGATTTCAATCGAAATAGAAAATTGATCAAAATAGTATTCTGTACAAGCACTATTTTAGACCTCGTTTTGAAACAATCTGATGATAGTTGTTCAATTTTATCTGCACACATATTCAGAAAGAGCGAAAAAGTCTGATCCTAATTAATTCCTTCTGGTTCCGGCCAGTTGTCTTTAAATAACCGAAAAATGAAAAAGTACTCTGACTACTAGAATAAAAATTAAAAAACGTATTTTTCAATACAGATCAAAGTTTATCAGAAACGATGATTTTCGACTCTATATTGACAGAAAAATACATACACATTTTAATTCAGACTACTGTTGAGATTTTGAGGTTGGATAACAACGTTTCAAGCGACATTTGTTTGACAATATTCTGATTTCAATTATAATATTGAACTCTTAGAATGCATAAAGAATGATTTAAAAGACAATATAGTTGATATAAATGTATTTAATAAGTTTATCGAAATTCTTCTTATGTCGTTTCAAACATTCGACTAACATCGATGTGAAATGCATTCATTATATAATAAAAAAGAAAAAAAGAAAGAAATCAATAATAACAAGACACGATAAATGTTGAATAAAAGAAAAAAGAAACAATCAAAACTAGATAATCAAAAGTTCATATTATTTCTTATTTTGTTGTCGTTGTTTAACAGCCCAATTATGTAAACGAGCCATATTTACTTCAGTTGTTGTAATTTGATCTCTATTAGTGTTTTTTTTTTCAAAGAAAAAAAAAACTTTCAAAAAAAGAAAACAAAATCTTTAAATTTATACCTTAAAAAATCAAGATCTTCATCAACTTTTTCAAGTGTTGTTTGTGCTGTTTTTTGATTTCCACGTAATAATTCTTCTGCTTCATCCATTGTATATTCAAGCATAACATTAGCACCTAACCATAGACAAACCTATAATAAAACAAAAATTATTTTTTCTTCTAATAAATTAATCATTTAATTTAACCTTATCAGTTGGTGGTATTGTTGCTTTACCATAAAGATTATGTGCTAGAAGAAAATTTGTTTCCATATTAGTACCATTTTCACGATATTTACGAAGTTGTTCAACCATATCTATATTATATTATAAATATACTTTCATAGATAAAAACAAAAATAAGTCTGATATACCTAAACAAATTTGAATATCAGGTAATTTTCCTCGTAAACGTTTTTTCTTTTGTAATAAATTCATTTCCATAAAACGATATTTACTATTTAAATCATCAAGTCTATTTAAAAAATAAGTGTAAATAATTATTCGTGATAAAAATTTTTTTTTTTTTTTTTTGTACCGTCGAATAACTGCATCAGTTGAATCATTTTCTGGTTGTTGCATAAAACTATCAACATCTTCAACAAATACAGCTTTTGGAATACCTAAATGCTCACTATCACTACCACTTGTTATTGATGTCATAATAGAAAAAAAAATGTTTTTCTAAAAATTCATTTTGATATAAATACATACACAAAAGCTTTGCGAAATATATTGCACGTGTTTTTCTTTAGACAGAAAGAAAGAAAAAAAAATTTTACAACAAGAAAGAAAAGTTCGTGAACGACTTTAAAAATTAAATAAATTCAGTCAAAGATGTGGTTGCCGGAAACTATAGAGACAAAAGAAAAAACAGCCGATGAAAATAAAATAATAAAATCATGTTTACCGTATAATAATTCGTGCACGAAGAAAAAGTCGAATTAATGCAAAGACAAAAAATGGCCAAAGTAAAATAAAGGCAATAGCTCGACGACGTAAACCAGCTAGTGGTAACCATCGTGATAAAGTCTATAAAATATTTATATAAAATAATAAAATTTCAATAAAAATTCAACTAACATTTGATTTTGAAGAACGATGCAATTGTGGAGATAATTCTCTCTGAAAGAAATAATATTTCAAAAAAATTTTTTAAATATATTAAAAATCTAAGTAGGATAATATTAAATACAATCAATGTTTTATCCAGCTTGGAGGCCGAAGTGCAGTGAGTATTTTTCCATCGAACAGGCAGACACGCGATTTTTTAGTTTAGAAAGATCTTATTTTCTGCTTCATTATTTGAAAAATTACTATGAGAAACCTTGACTATATATAAAGCAGTAGAAAAAGGTCTAATAACAACGTATTTTTCCATAATGTTAAACACTTCAAATCCCGATAATGATTTTAATAGCCAATGGAACTTTCTATCTAATGCATTCTATACCAAGCAAGGTTTCTTTAAAAACCGGACACGGTCATTTTCAGATCCCGTAAGTTATTTTTTAAAGGGCATAAAATGAGAGATCGCCGCTTTTTTTTTATAACAAACAAAGTAAAAAATTATTGTTAACATAGTATACTTTGAAAATTATTGACGGATCATAACTCTTGCCTTTACGAGGTAATCTCTCCAGATGCTAAAAACAAATTTTGCCTACAGACAGAAGATGTATAGTCTAGAAAAATTCTAGGAGGATATGAGTTTCAGTTGCAATTTAGCTGAGATATCGACTTTTTACTACAATCTTCCT